TTTTTAAAAATTTAAAAATGCTTTTTAACTTACTCCCTCCAATATTATTATATAATTTATAGTATATATTGATAAATAAATCTCTACAATTTCCTTGGTTTAACAACTTTTTTAAACTTGGTTTAAAAAAATTTCTAATAAATACATATTTAGATACCTTAAAATGAAGCATAACACAACACTCTTTTGACAAATTCCCGAAGAAATTTTCTTAATTTTTTTATTCCTTATTATTTTTCCTATGAGAATATATATATGTAGATATAGAGAAATATAAAATAGACTGAAATGAATCGAAAACCCTAATTTATGTATGAGAAAATAACTTGAACTTACTAAAAAAGCAATCAGCTCCTCTTAACTGCTCTAAAAAATAAAACAAATACTGCTTAAAATGTTTTAAAAAGACTAACGACAAAACTGTTTTTTAAAAAAGAAACATTGTTCTAAAAAAACTATTTTACCAGTCAATTTAGTTCTAACTTATTCTAAAAAATGAAAAATAAATACATATTTAGATACCTTAAAATGAAGAATAACACAACACCCTTTTGACAAATTCCAGAAGAAAATTTTTTTTCTTTTTTAAATTTTTCTATTCTCAATTATTTTTGCTAAGAGAAAATACATATAGATATACATATATATATACATAACAAACTAACAATTATTTAAATTTTTATTTTAAAAATAAACAACATTAATTCTTCTTGAAAATAAGTGTATCAGCTCCAATTTGCTTGCTGATTTTACTCGAAAGACCGCGTGGAATATATAACTGCGCTTAGAAAATTCTAGAAGCAAAGAAATAGTGTATTTTACATAATGCAGAACCGTAATTAACAAAATGAACAATAGGCGTAACAATGCATAACTGCGCACTAATAATATTCATTCGGCTATTCATTATAGGCGGATGATAATGATAAAACAAAGCACTACTACTTCTTAAGTGAAATATTTGACCTCTTGCATTGATTATATAAAAAAAGTTACATTATGTAGCGATGGTCCTGCACTCAAATCAAAAATCGTTACATGGCCAAATTCATTCAACATTGCTCTGTGAAAATATCATTTTTAATCAATAGAGTGAAATTTTTTTGCTATCTCTCACGGTAAAGGAGCAGTTGATGGTGTAGGAGGATCGTTGAAGCGATTTGTTTGGTATATTCTTAAACACTAAAGACTTTCTCTAAGCATTAAATCGGTACAAAACTTATGTAACGCTAATCAACACAGATGAAGTTAATCTTAGGTGGGCCATTAAAGCTGATCAAATTGAAGAAGCAAAACTTGTTAAAAATATTTCCAAAATGCATTTCTGACATGTAAAAAATGAAAAGATTTTGATTTCAAAATTTTCGAATATTTTTTAATGGGTTTGTAAAACAATTTTAAAATTGATATTTTTACTTTTCTGAAAAAATTATTTTATAAAGTTATGCTGGGAACAGGGAGCATTATCCATTTAAACTTTATTAAAGTAATAAAGTATAAATAAATGTAGCAGCCTGCCTTGAGTTGCCTATTTCAAATTTAACAAACCCAGTATCAAAAAACCATATTTGAGAACTTTGATTATGTTAACATAGTTTACACGGTTTCTATAATTATTCATCTTTTTTTTTGATTGCGTTGTTTTATTTGTTGTTTTTTAAAATTAGATTTTTCGTTACAACCTTCAAGATTACAACCATCACGGCAAAAAAAAACATAGAAAAGCTTATAAAACATCAAGTAAAAACTATGAAACTCAGCATATAATAACATCAATATGTGCTAAATACACACACCAAATGATTTTTTGTTTACCATGCCGTTCGCTGCAATTAGTCTGACCAGGTTGTTATGTTCAGAAGTGTTAAAAAGTAAACATGAGTAAATTTTTAAAAGAAGTTTAAGACTTCGATACTGTAACCTACTTCGATACTGTATATACTAAATTATATAATAGTACTCCATGTTTCTGGAAAGTTTCCAGTCATTTTCAGATATGATACAGATATGCATATATCAGGCTTGGTTCGGAAGCGGATGCGATCGCACTCGATAATTGACCACGGAAATAATATTTAGTTGCGAAAAACTGGCCAGATTTTTTAGTCGTTTTGAGAATATTTAAGTTTATCTATGTTTCCTTGTTTGTCCGCAAAATAATAAGTTTATTATTTTATCATAAATTTTAAAATATTTTGTTTTACCGACATACATGGAAACATAAACTTGAATATTCTCAAATATCTTTGTGCGGAAAAATAAAAAAAGAATATTCCCGAACACAAAAAACCCGCTAAATCTACGAACAACTAATTCTATTGGTTCAAAAAATACTAACTGAAATTTCTAGAGTATTCAAAAAATACTAACCGAGTGTTCTAGAGTATTCTGTTGAAATATTTTTAAAAATTATATTATTTTAGTTTTGTTATGTTTTCGTTGAGATTTCTAGAATAAATTTTTTTAAGAATATCAAACAAACTATTGTTTTAATTCTCAGAGTCACATCTACAAATCTACAAATGTTTTAAAAATGTTTTAAACTTAAAACATTTAAAAAATATAAATTTAAAAATATAAATTTAAAACATTTACTTTTGTTTACAAAAGTAAATGTTTTAAATTTATATTTTTAACTTGTCAACGTTTTGTGAATATATTATAGATTTTATTAGTATATTCTTGTTTTTTATATATAAGAGATGTATTTTTTATGTATGTAATGTATTTTTAAGTATGTAATGTATTTTTATGTATGTAGCCATTCTTACAATTTTGGTATACTTAAACTTAGTTACTTTTTTCTGTTTTAAATACTAGTTAAAATTATAAAGCCCACTCACTAAACATCATCAGCAGTATTGTGAAACAGTTCCACTTCCTCCTCACAAAGTCATTTATTGTTTTTAGTTGATTTCTATCTAGCTAATTGAATTTCTACAGTAACTCAATTATTTAATTATTTCATTTGTTCATCTTATTAAGAAGTATTGTTTCAAATGTGTTAAACTTTTCAAACTATGCGAAGCAAAAAATAGTTATTGAAAAAACTTTTTTATTTATAAATAAATCATCTAGTGTTTTATTGTTTGAATCTTGTTTGACTTTTCAGGGCCCCTAACATTGTGAGTCCCGGGGCAATAGCCCTTCTACCCCCCCCCCACCTTCTTAATCCTGGAAACAAGACCTAAGTATATAAATAAAAATTATATATACTCTTTGATAAATCGAAGAACATTTGTTTTCTTATTAAACAATGATTAATAGTAAGTTGTTACTTTATATAAATAATGTCGCTTAATTTTATAACAAATTATAAAAGAGCGACGTTGACTACCTTGACTCTTAAGCTGTATTTTATTGTCGTCAAAATGTCAAAGCAATTAAATTAATGCGGAAGTACATTAAGTTTTATTGTTTTTTAAAAAAACCGCTATAATAATGACTAGAAAGTTTTTTTTAATTAATGGTGTTTTTATTGTTGTTTTATTAAAATATATTTTTAAAACATGCGCGGAGCATTGTTACATCAACTATCTTATAGCCTGCTGCTACAATGGAGTGTTGCTACATCGACAATCTTATAGCCTGACTCGCAACGGACTGTTGCTACATTGACTGACAAATAGCCTGACTCGAAAGGGAGTGTTGCTACATTGACTGAGGGTTTGGTTTGGGCAGGCAGTCTATCATTTAAGAAAAATATATGTATTTAAGTTTGTAAACTTTTTCTGGTCTGGTTTATAAACGCGCTCTTTAAAACTACAGTTTGTGGGAAAAACTTTCTGACTACCATGCAAGACTATATATATAAATATATATATATATATATATATATATATATATATATATATATATATATATATATATATATATACTAAGATATATACTAAGATATATATATACATATGTATATTCATACATACATATAAGTATATATATATATATATATATATATATATATATATATATATATATATATATATATATATATATATATATATATATATATATATATTTATATATACACACACACACAGATATATATATATACATATGTATATACATATGTACATAAAAATATACATATATATATATATATATATATATATATAAATATATATATATATATATATATATATATATATATATATACTAAGATATATACTAAGATATATATACAGATATATATATACATATGCATATTCATACATACATATAAGTATATATATATATATATATATATATATATATATATATATATATATATATATATATATATATATATATATATACACACACACACACAGATATATATATATACATATGTATATACATATGTACATAAAAATATATATATATATATATATATATATATATATATAATATGTTTATTATTCATGGCTTCACATTTATGTGGAGTGAACAGATTTTCAAAATCCCATTTACTTATTAAAGTGACATTGGGAACAATTAAAGAATTTTTTTACAAACTAGATGTTTTTTTGTCATTCTTTGTGTCTTATTGTAAAAAAAATACGAGGTTTGTATAAGCATAGGGTTAAAATTTGAACTTTCAGACCACTAATCTAGTACTATATTACCATCCATAGTTTTCAAGCTCTTTCATTCTTGCCAAAAATTAAATTTTTTTGGTTGAGTTGCTTTTAAAATATTACTTATTAAGCTAATCTTTGTAGAAGTTGTTTAAAACTTTGGTTAGACCACCAAATTTGATTGGATAAGAGTTAAAGAAATATTATATGAGTAGACATGGCATAATCACAAAAGTATTTTTTTCTAACAGCAATGTTTTCAACATAATATTAGAATGTGTATCTTTAAATGTGTTGTGTTGACAATAACTATCATAATGATCGCAATAAAAAATAAAAAAAGAATGAAATGCTTTGTTTCCTTTTTAAAATAAGATTAATAAAAATTTTATTACATAAAAAGTTTAGAAATGAACAGAATTTAAAGTTGAATTTTGTTTTAAGACTTCATGTATCTGCTGT